CAGGGGGAAAAAGGAGCGGCCAGAGGGGGAGCGAGAGGACAGGCGGCGCGGGAGGGCGGGGTCTGCCCTTGTAAGGCCAGAGCGGCGCGGCCCGCCCTCGACGATGGGGCGAACCGATTGGTTCGTGGCCTCGGCGGGGCGGGACTTAAGGGAGGAGAGGCCGGCCAATCCACCGGCGTTCCGCACGCTCCCGCCAAAGGCGGGAACCGACGCCAGTATAAAAGGCGCGGGTTGTCCTTCTCTGGCCCTTTAGGGTGTGGGAAGGTGTAGATGGTGTTTATTTGAGGCGTGGATTTAGACTAGGCTCGCTCCTCCTTTTTATTCACCTGTATCGATTGAGACCGTGTGGGAAGAGAGCCGTGTTAGTCTATGGGGGCAGAAAATCAGGAGTATGGGAGCCCCTTTTCTGACTCGCACCTTTTATTCAAAGGCTGAACCTTTAGACTAGGGTTCCTCAACTTTGGCAACTTTAAGCCGGGTGGACTTCAATTCCCAGAATTCCCCAGCCAGCATTGCTGGCTAGATTGTGGGTTGATTTCCCCTTTCCTTGACATCAGCCCCCCTCTCAGCCGCCTCCTCTCAAGACACTTAAGAACAAAATTATCAGTGCCTCCTTTTCCATAAACGCAGCAACATTTTGTTTTCTAATTTGTAAATTTTGGCAAAGGTCAATCAGCTAATATCAAAATATGTACCATTGGTCTATTGCCTATTCTGGACGTTGCTGCATTTCGCTGGTTTGTAGGAAAGAGCATCTCCTTCCTCCTCTTGAAGAGTCTCCCATCTCTCTTGAAGGGCTGGGTTACCAGTCTTATCCTTATTGCTCCTCTTCACTCATACTGTATTCCTGCTTACCTGAACTGTTCGTAAAATATGCCCAGCTCTCGACCCAGTATTCAAGTTGAGGTCTGACTAATGCAGAATAAAACATATTTCCAGATACTTGGAAATTACACTTCAGTGAATCTTAATATGTGACTAAAACTGCATGGCTGTGTCTCTATAAATCATCAGGCAGAGAAGTGGCGTGTGTCTATGTGTGTCAAATGATGGAACAACAGCATTGTGCTGCCCTGATACAAGCACTGCTGCTTTTGAACCTATATCATGTGATTGCATGTACATACTAAAGGAGTGGAGTTTGGTCTACAACACAACACTGGTTTCATTTTGACAAAAGGTGAGATCCTACAAGCACCCCCAGTAGGAGAAGCGGCTGTGGACAGGTTCTCCTGGTACCCTGGGGGTCTCCAGAGTCAGAGCAGCCCCTTTTTCCCACATCCTGCACTGGTTATCTGGTTCTTCCATGCAAGCGGATACAGGCTGAGACTTGGTTCAGGAATTGAGGAGCGGGTCCTGAACCTCTACGCTTAATTCTCTTCCAGTTGTGGCAAGCCACAGCTCCGTAGAAAAACTCACTGTGGGCTTTCTGGAACAAGATTTTCCACGTAGACAGGCGCAACCCTGACTTGTAGACTGCCCACAGTGCTAGAGGAAAGCCTGCAGTTTTAAGGTATATTTTGTCCTGGAGAGGGTTTTGATACTTCATTAATCTGGGTCAAGGCAGTGGGACTAAAGTGTTTTTGAAGCAAAATATCTGTTTCAGCTTCTTATATTATCTTGCTATTTTATTCTCCTGCAAGGAAAATAATTTATTTGAGTCTAATTGATATCCAGCAACTTCTTTGCAGGTGGAACCAGGAAGTTGATACCCAGACCAAGCCAACAGGTATTTTGAATTGCAGGTACACCCTTTCAAGGGTTTCCTCACTTTAAAAAAAATGGTTTACTTTAGTGAGTATTTGAAGCAACATGAATGGAGTTTTTACTCAAAAGTGAACTTTTGAAGCACTAATTATATATATATATTTTATCTATTTCACAAGAATAACTATGGTACCCATATTATACCATTTATGCACAAATAAATGGTGGAATGTATTGATACAATACATCCCAGCCTCACACATAAGCACATGTATATCCATCAATGGAACATATATTTAATACATTTGCCAAAGTCGGTCTGGTAAAAGACCTTTGTAGTTCTTAACATTTCAAGTCTATTAGACTCCACTGTTTAAATAGATACTCTACATATTTATCTGCCTTTGAGGGGGGGGGGAAACCTCCCAAGTTACAGATAATTGGCACTGTAATGCCAGTAATAGGATCAAGACAAGAAATAACAGGAAACAAAGCATAATTTGAAACTGGACAAGTCAGCGTATGCAGGGAAAAAACTAAAAAGCTTTCCAAAATTGAAAGGTGTTTTTTAAATATCTTTGAACTAAAATGCAGGGGAAATTATATAGAATAAAACATTCTGAGAAAAAGAACCCACCCAAAGAGAGATTGCTTTCCTCCCATCCTTTAATTCCCTTTGAAATCCCTTCCTTCTTTCTGCCCCAAATAATGAATGTTTATTTAAACAATATTGATTTAGCTCTCCAAGGCAATTGTGGTTTTCATAGAACTGTAGAACACATAACAAACAAAAATCAATCTCTGAACTTTTTCACACACAGATAAAACGCTAGCTGTTTTGTAGATGTAAAAACTAGCCTGTAATGGGTGACCTTTTCACCAAGTTTATATTCCTAGATTATGCTTTCATTCTACTGCTCGGAATGTGTATTTGTTTATCCAGTCTGTATTCACAGCTGTGCTTGGTTACTTTCACCATTTTTAGCAGCTTAACAGGTTTAATGAACCGTCCATTCGATAAAAGCTTTTACAGCGCCTTTGATTTCTTTCTCCCTGTCAGTTACATCTCCAGATTAAAAAAAAAAAAAGGCTTCCTTGTCGTAAAAGTAAATTTTTAAATATTTAAGAGAGACCTACGTGGTGACTTTTCCGAAGTGCAGAATGAACACATTCTTCAGAATTCTGTGATAACACTGCCCTGAGGATCCAAACTGTTGTGTTTTTTTCCCCGATTGTGTTCCTATATCTTTAATGCAAATGCCACAAGCAAAACAAAGCAGGAGTACATGATGTTTACCTTTAATTCACTCTCTTTGTGGGGAACGTTTCTATGAATCATATGGCTTTTTCACAGCAGCCCACAGCCTGAGAAAGCTAGGAAGCTATGAGACGGAAGAAGCGATCCCTGCTTTATTGCTGTCATCCCACATTTCACAGCCAGGCTGCAACTATACAATATGATCTCACCTTTGCTACACTCTTCATCACAGATAATCTAAAATGCATCTGGTAACTGTTTCTGTACTTCTTCCTTCTTCCACCTTCTTCTGTGGTTGCAGCAAGGCAAACCTTCTTTTTGCTGCCTAGCCTTTGTTTATCCCTTTTTGTGGAAAATGCAGCAGCTTTTGTATGCCAACCGCTACTTATCAGATCTAATTTTTATAAACAGCAGAAGGCAGAAGCAGCAGAAAAAATGAGCCACGGTTGGACCATATTGCACAAGAGGTGATGTTGGAGGCCTGCAGGTGTTTTATTCCCGCTTTTGATGATGCCCCTTTGCACTGGGGGATGACAGGAGAGATCTGTAGGTAAGTCAGATACCAGTTTTAACTGTGGTCATCCATAGAATTCATCCGCCTTGTCATATCTTTGTAAGGAGTATTTACTTTCCAAACTCGAGGCTGCTATTCTATCCCACCTCTTGCCTTTACTACACTAAATCCTGCAACATACATCACCTTGTATATCTGATGCTTCCTTGCTATAAATGTGGACAATTTAGATGTTTCCGATTCATGTGTAGGGTACCAGACCCCAAGACTATCTGCAATGATGCATCGAAAGAGAGTGCGGGGTTAAAGATGTGACGAGGAGGGATTACTTGGTGATTAAAGTGGAGGAGTGTGACTAACGAAGAAGGGACTTGAAATCAGCTTTTAAAATACAACATACTTGCTAAGTGATTTCTCTTCTCTCTTCCATGCGAATGCTCAGGAAAAAAAAAACGTATTCATACCAAACTTTTTTTTTTAATTAGAGAGCTGTACCCCATGTTTATGAAATACACAACCAATATTTGTTTATCTGCTTTTCACTATTTTTATGCCTCTGGGGTGACTTGCATAAATATTTATGGAATAATATTGGGCACACATCAAGGGAAGCCTGCAGAAAATCTGTGGAAGAACAGCAGCATTTTGACGGTGGGGGAAGCTGTTTGCCACAAGGTGGTCGTTATTATTCTGTAACACTTCCTGTTGATAACGTTTGTCATGTTGGGGAAGGGGTCTAACTCAGTGGTAGAGTATAAGCATTGCTTACAGGAGAGTTGAGCAGGATAAATCTCAGTGTTTTTATTCGTAAAAAGTCAGGTAACATGTAATGGAAAAGTGCCTACGAAGTCTTGGTGAATGACCTGATGCGTGATAGCTTCCTGTATTCCAGACAGGTACACTGGAACAGTGATTTCCAGAAAGTGTTTGACATAGTCCATTGTTCCTTGAAGCTTATCAGAATTCCTAATTCAGAAGATAAGTAATGGAGGGGAAGCTTCCATGAAAGGAATTTGGCCCCTTGCAACATACTGTACAAGTGAAAGAATTTTGCAGCATGAACTGGGAGTGCATCTTAAAACATTCCTCAAGAACCATCTACAGCATGCATGTTTTTTCTTCCAACAGATGAATCTACATGGAAAAGGCATTGTTTGAATGCAGAAAATATTAAAAGTACAAGTGTGTTATCAGCATTAACAACATACAGGAAATTTTTCACAGACTTGTGTCATGCAGCAACTATGATTGAGAAACCTGATAGAATTCTCAGTAGAGTTTTCTCCTCCTCTCCCACCCCCATTTCACAGATTCTTCATTTCCTCATGGGACAACGATCTGCAGAGATTCAAAAACACGAAAGGAAGATTCTCCTTCATAGAGTCAACATGGCCCAAATCCTGTAATGGGTAACTTGGAGAATTCATCCTCTGTGAAGCTGCAGCAGTGCTTTATAGCAGCTAATGCAACGCCCCCATCTGTTCCACACATCCCCTATTTGCTAAGCGACAGCATGACCGCTTTGCTGTCCATCGTGGGCAATCTATTCATCTGTACTGTCATCTTGCGGAACAGGAAGTTGCGTGCCATCGTCACCAACTATTTTCTGGTCTCGCTGGCTGTGGCGGACTTCTTGGTAGGGGCAGTGGTCATCCCTTGTGCTCAGTTTACTGATATGGGGTTGCCACAATCCAGGCCACAGCTGTGTCTCCTGATGCTTTGTATGCTTCTAATGTTCACACAAGCCTCTGTCTTTGGGCTTCTGGCCATTGCTGTGGAAAGGTACATCTCCATCCTGAAACCGTTCCAGTACCAGTCTCTGATGTGTCCTCGCAATTCCCTGCTGGTGATTTTGGTTTGCTGGCTGCTGTCAATATTGATTGGCCTGATGCCTCTGATGGGCTGGCACGACCCCCTGCCATCCAGTGGGGAATGCCTTTTTAACAGCATCATCACAAATACATACATGGTCTACTTCAATTTCATGGTGTGCATGCTGGCACCATTGATCGTCATGCTGATGCTGTATGGGCGCATCTTCTTGGAAATCAAGCGCCAGATCTGCAAAGTTGCTGAGGGGGAAGTCAACATCAGTGCCCAAGAGAGACGCCGGATCATTGTGCGCAAGAAGATGCAGACCGCCACCTCGCTCTTTATCATCCTCTTCTTCTTCATTCTTTGCTGGCTCCCACTTCACATTCTCAACACCATCATGCTTCTCTGTCCAACCTGCTGCATCCCCAGTCAACTTGTCCTGGCCACCATAATCCTCTCCCATGCCAACTCTGCCATCAATCCAGTGGTCTATGTCTTCCGTGTGCGATCTTTCCGGAAGGCCCTTGAAAGCACCTTCCTCTGCATTTGCTGCTCCTCCGTATTTTCCACATCTGGAATAATGCCCTCCAACATTCTAGAAATACCACCACTTCATAACACTTTACTGCCAGGGAAGTGAATTTAAAAATCTGACTTCTGGTTGGAACTATCAAACCATTCTCCAAATGGGAAAGAAAACATCAGAGCCAGTAATATTCTGGCAGGGCGAGGGAGCAAAGTATTTGTGTAATGCTGCAGCCAAACATGCCATCTGCACTGGGCACCAAGGAAGGCTGAAGAGGTAATTGCTGCTATCCTGGCATATTTTCTTCTGAGATTGCTACTCATGGGAAGGAGTAAGCTGCTGTTAAAGTCACAGGTAACTTGCGTAGCTCACCCTTTGACTTGGGAGACTGCCCCGTCCTTTCAAACGTATCTTCATACCACAAGGGCTACAGATTTGCTCGTTTTTCAAAAGCTGAAATTCTCAGAAAATCAAATTCTCTACTCAATGCCATTTTCTTTTTGTTCTCTATGGCCATGGAATTGCAGGAAATGTTAGAACATACAGAGTGAAAGGTCGTTTGGGGCTGCTTTCTCTGAGTTCCTGTGTTTACTGGCTGATTTGTACCCATTTTTGTAACTCATTCTGTTTGGGATAGGTCATTTATCTTCTGATACGGGAACTTTTTGGCCAGCATGAAATGCTGGTGAATGTTAGCACTTGCGACCAATATTCTTGAGGACCAGCTCCTCACATGGGCCTTCTGGCTTCCCAGGCTCCTTGCCAGCATGGTCCAGGTTGCTCAAAGACCCAGGTGCTGAGGGGTAAGCAAACAGCCGTGGTTGCTGCATCACATCCTTGTTGCCCCTTTTCTTCTGTTGCTTATCCAAAGGGAAGCCAGTCAAAAAATGGCAAGCCCAGAGAAGGCTGGCAGCTTCTTGCTGGTGCTCCACTTTCCAAGCTTGACTTTGCTGAGCGTCCAACCCCTGATGCTGAGGAGATCCAGTCTGAAACTGCGAGATCCAGGCAAATACATTTTTTTGCTAGCAAGCTGATCATGGGGTGAAACCTGCCTTAGAAAGGAGTCCGAAGTGTCAGGGGGCCTCCAATTCTCTTTCCATTATTTTATGATTGGTGCAACATAATGGTCAAAAGAAGCAGCACTGAATTAATTCCAAAAAGCCTTAGTCATGACCTTGTGGGAGGGGGCATGTGAGGGCTCTTTGCTTTCCGAGGACGGGGCGCACCGCAG